CAGTTTGTTGGCAACTGGTTTACTACTCTGCCTTTCTCGGTGTAGTCTCTAAAGACGTCTAGTAACTCTAGGAGCTTATCTTGGGCCACATGAGATTCAGCCATAGTTGACGCTTGGAGAATCAGGTCTCTCGCCCAGTAGATGGCCTGCTCCGAGTTCTTGGCAGTTGGTTTTGGGGTAGAGGAGTTCTGGAAGGGGTTTCTGCCTCTATAGGCAGCCTCTGGCGAGAAGTTGGCTTGGCGCTTTTTTGGTGGTAGGATTGGGATTTCAAAGATGCTCTCTTGGCTGGCTGGTTGCTGGGTAGGAGTGGCTGGGTAGGGGTCCTCTCTGTCCATTTCCCTGTCGATCTGAGCCTCTGGGCCTAGGCTCTCTTGCCTCTGTTCTAGCACTTGGGCTTCGATAGTATCGCTTTCTGGTGGCATTCTGTTGCTGGGGTTCTCTTATTACTAAGCAGAGTGGTCTGTGTGTTTTTGTTTTGAGTGTGAGACGTGTCCTAACTGTCTGCTCTTATAGCTTATAGCTCCACAGCGCGCACGCTGCACGTCTTAAAACTTGCTGTAATTAGTTTCTTGTAAGGGATTTGTATATATTTAACAAAAATTACACCTATTCTAGAAAACTTGACGTTGGTGTTGATGTCACCTTCTTCTTAAGAATTCAAACCGATTTGTGTCACGACTCTGGCATCGCATCGCCCCACTACTGGGCTTACTACTATTTCGCACAAGTTCTTCATCTCCGAGAAGTGGCTTGACACTAACTTCATGTGGCAGCAGGCTTATGTCATCTCTGTACATGTCATGACTACTGACGTCACCAGTCGTAAACTGGATATTGGTATTTCGTATAACGTGTGCATACGCCCGGCCTTTATGTACGCGTCGTATTGCTTCGTATACCCTCCTTGAACTACAGATTTGATTTTAGTAGTTAGTTCTCTTTCTTACATACCGCTCTCTTATATATACCACTTTTCACAATACACTGTAATATCAACAGACGATTCTTAGATTTATCTAGAACTCAAGTGTCTGATGTTTACATTTCAACATATTCAGCAAATGGCTTCTTTGCTGTATTCGTGATCTTCTTCTTTTGCCTCCGATCAGCGTGTTGCATTTTTATATTGCTTTTAACAATAAGCAGATTCTACACCTATGTATGAGCCCATTCAGGCGAATGCAGTGGAGAGGCGTTGGAGATCTTTGCTTGTTTATCCATTTTAGCATTGTTCATCCGGGGCTAGTTACAGCACGAGTGGGGTCCCGATGTTAGTCGTGTGTAATACACACTCTGCTTTTTCGCACGTTTTGGATATTATTGCCAAGAAGTAATAAATTGTAGTTTATATGTCTTCACACCGCAACTACGGGACGCAGGTGGAAACGAAAGAGCAGACGCGTTAGCAAAGGAAGCAGCCAAAGAAGAGCCAAACTCTACAACAGCAAGCCTCGCCTTTCTAGGCACAGAGACAAGACTACTACAGCTAAGAGATCAAAGCCAAGAGTGGCATAAATATAGAGAAAGAGCCATCCAGGAAAACAAGCATACCTACTCTGCTAGATTTCCCCTTGCTTACCCTAAGGCAATCCAAATCCCAAGAGGTACACCAAGGGAAATCTCTAGCGCCTTCTTCTCTCTCAAGCTAGGCCACGGATACTTTAACGCCTACCTAGAGAGAGTGAAAAAGAGAAACTCAAACCTCTGCGATTGTGGGAGAGTACAGACACCAGATCACCTTCTCCTATACTGCTGGCACTACAACACAGAAAGGC